CTGCCTTGTTCTTCAGCGGAGAATGAAATAACGTTCCTCCCCACTTGTACCAACGGGCCGGGTGTCTAGCGCCTGCATCAACTTTATGGGACTGCTAAGTGCTTTCTTGCTTGCCTCTGAGGATGGCGAACGGGTAATTAGGCCATTTCACCGATGGGGAAAGCAATTTGTGGTTACTGTGGTTATACAATAGACGGCTGCCTCCTGGGGTGTGCTTGCTGGGTGCAGGGAAACCGGGGCCAACTGTAGTTTGTGTGAGATTATCTCGGACTTATCGAGCACTGGGCCAAGCTCACCAAGTCCTCCCGAAAACCCCTGACATGGGTATGATTATCTCTGTGCTATAGATGCGGACGCTGAGGTCCCGGGAGGGGAAGTTGGCCACGAGGGAAGGGGCAGAATCGGGGTTTGAACTCATGGGAAAACGGCGCCAATGGACTTGCTGCACGCAGGGCTGCCGCAGACACCCCTGTAATAAACGCAGATCTGCGAAGCGCCCTAAAAGGAGGTATTCCTGCAACTTCTTGTCTCGGGGTTGCCTCCGGAGGAACCCAGGCTAGGATCAGCTCTGACTCAGCACTTTCACTTCTGGAATTCTCTCCGACAAAATAGTCTCGTGTGTGCCTGTCGAGTCATGTGTAAAGAAGATCATTGCTGGTGTTATTGGGAAATTAGGCACACCCAAATGCCCATGGTAGGGAAATGTTATCTCCACCATGAACCATTCATAGTATGAAATACTGGGGTGCTGTTAAAAAGACGACAGTGAGCCCCTAGCCAGTTTGGCTCAGTGGATAGAGCGTCAGCCCACAGACTGAAGGGTCCGGGCTCTATTCCAGTCACGGGCACACACCTCTTTTGCAGGCACGATCCCCGCCCTGGGCATGTTCTACTCTATCCACTGAGCCAAACCGGTTAAGGCCAGATTTATTTTTCTCAAGGGATCTCTCTGGCTTCTCTGGGGAGAATGGATTGAGAGGGGTAAGAGTGATAGCAAGGGCACCAGTGGGTAGGCTCCTGCAGCTGTCCAGATGGTGGGTCTGGGAGGTAGGAAAGAAGTGGTGAGATTTGGATAAATGTCGGAGGCACAATAGGTGGGATGGATTAGATGGAGGGTGTAGCGGTGGAAGAAAGAGAGGAGTCAAGGATGGCTTTAGATTCTTGACCTCAGCCACTGGGCGGATGGTGATGACATTGACTTCGATGCACTGATGAGAAGCAACGGGTCCCTGGGGTGAGAGGCAAACAGGTTTTCTCCGAAGGCAGGGAGGGTGTGGGCCATTGAGAACTTGCATCATTCCGTTCTGAGGTCTGTAAGGGGTGGAGAGGTCACAGTGGATCGGGGTGAATGACTAAAGGCAGGG